CTTGTGATTAAGAAAGCAAACTCAGAACTCAAAATTTTGGATCTCTTGGCAGCTGGCACAGCTTATAGAATGAATATGTGTATAGGTTAAATTCCTAAAAAGGTAACTGCCCATCATCCTTAAGTTTCCACCTCTGCCACTATCCTTATTATTTCTCATTTTGCCTTTGGTTGTGAGCAGTGCCAGCTACTGAGCCAAATTCAGTTTCCTCCTTCCACTGTTCTCCCCCTGCTGGAGTAGAGGTGTTCATGACAGGCTGCAAATATTTCACCAGAGGGAGCATGGTTAAAGGGTCCTTGCCTGCCAGCCCCACATGCGGAAGAGAGCAGAGCCCTGGCTCTGGAGAAGAAAGGAAGAGAGAGAGGTGTTGTCAGATGAAGGAGAGAGGATATGAATAAAGGCTCAGCCAATTTTAGGAGAAATAAAGAAACCAAAACCAACACATTCCTAATTCAGGGGATCTGAGTTTCTTGTTACTCAAATAACTGCAATTCTTTGGGGTTGATAATAGAGAATCTCTGTTACCAACCCTGTAATTTGCACAGATAAATATACTGTAGTTACCGTTTTTCAAGTTTATTAAAATGTTGTTGTGGGACCTGTGGGGTTTTTTTGTTTTGTTTTGTTTTGTGTTGTTTCGCTTTACCAATAAAATGGCTGGTTGTGTGGGGTCTTGCATCTTAGAAGTTTTTGGACAGTTTCAGCCATTTTACATTAAACCGAATTTAAAGACTGGAAAAGATCAACTTTTATTTTTTCCATTTAGTGATGCCTTTGGCCTTTGAACAAAGCATTTTACAAGTGAATCTGCTGTGCAAAGAATACTTTTTGTAAAGAGACCTTGTTACCCTTGGCACCTACTGGGAACATCCCTAAATTTGGATGGTGAAGTAAGGCCATATTTTAAATGCATCCCTGGAAGGGATGAAATGCCCAGAATTTGGCAACATTTCACATCTGACGGCCTAGTTCTTAAGCCACATACAGTCTAATTGGTGGTGACAGCCTTTTGCACAAGAGCATTTTGATGAATTAAAATTTTTCCCCTACTTCTTATTCTTATCAGGTTCTCAACAAAATTACTGTGTTGTGTTTACCTTGTGCCGGTCTGAGCGCCAGGTATGTGTTAGGCAATCAGGAAGTGTTTGGAAGATTGAGTCCTCATTACTCAGACCTTATGAAACATATCATTTATCTGTACGGATGGGTAGTGAAGATCCTCAGAGCTGTAAGACATCACCAGTACACTGGCAGGAACACGGATTGATAGCATACAAGGGACACTACTGTATTAAAATAATTACATTAAATGAATACAAATTGTATTGGTAATTTTCATTTCAAATATTTGGGTATGGAGGAGGGGTTTTTAGGTAAGAAGTCATCAGGTTTTTTTATTATGGCCTGGTAGGTAAAATTTGAGTGTCTGCTGTACTTTTCTTTATAGACCCATGCCTTATTTGTAAGGAGTAGTTTGGAAATGTTGCCCAAATTTGCCTATCAGAACACTGCACTTTCTCAGTTACCAGTTTTGACTTTTGTCGGCGACTCAGTTGAACTATTGGGAAACCCAGACCAACTATGGATATGAGAGTCTGGGAGGATTTTAGATGTACTTGTGGGTGAAGAGAGTATAGTAAGATGCATTGGCTGCAGCAGAATAGCATTGGTGGGCAGGTGCCTGGAGTTGCCTGTTATTCTTTTGGTACCCACATCTTCAACTTTAAATTCAAATAAATTTCATAGATAAGAATTGATCTGGGTTGCTTAGTTTGATATTAGACCCTTATGATAGGGTTTATTTTGTTTTAAGCTTTGTACCAAGTGCTTTCTACGGATCTTTTCCTCAGAAGAATCCTGGCTTTATCTCTATTTTACATATTAGGAGGCTGAAGTACAGACAAGTCAGGTTAGGTCATTTGCTCCGATGACAGTTTGTAAGTAGAAGAGCCAGAATGTGGACCCAGAAAAAATTCATAGCACCTGGTTTCCAGAGCCCTCCTTCATTGTCCTTATTTATAAGTTGCAAGAAATACAGCTTCTACCTTATACAGTTTTGAATATCAGTTGCGATAATGCAGGAAGGTACCTTGGGCAGTGCTTGGCCCCTAGCGGGTACTCAGTACTGATAGTTGTTATTAGTCACAGTTTCTCGTAATAACTATCATAATGCTAGGAGGATACTTAGTATTTTTCACTTAAAGCCCTGTTGTGTTTTCTTTATTAAACCACTCAAAAACTGTGAAGAAAGGAAAGAGGTATTGAGCAACAATAAGGACAGAAGGCGAAGTATGATAAAGTGCTATGTTGAGCCCATTGGTTAAAGGTTGTATTAGTGAATCTTGAAGGATTTCACATATAAAAAGAGGAAAACCAAGCCGCGTCTTGGGGAAGTCAGTCTGTACTTCATGTTTGCCATTCTTCCCCTTATTTTTGTTCTCACAGTGCTCTCTCAGAGATCAGAAGGCCTATACTTAAAAGGCCAGCTCCCTTTCGTATCTATATAGCTGGGTGGCCCTAAGCTTTTTTTTTTTTTTTTTTTAATGGCAGGTCCAAAGGACATTAAAATTCAGATTTTCATTTATCTTAAATATTGAACTAAAAAATTCAAAGCAATTAATGAACTGTGTACTTTAGGAAAACAGAAATTGGACATTTTTATGTGATTCTGTAAATTTTTCAGTGATTTGGGATGAATGAAAAGTTGAAAGTGCAATGAGGACTTCCTTTTCCAGTATTGAGGGCCTATATTAAGAGGTAGGAACCCTTGATACTAACAGGGTTAATTACATGTTTTGCCCATGCGTTTTTCTCACTGGTAACTTATACAGGAAATTAAGGCCTTAGAAATGATTTTTTATCCTTCCAATAATTTCCACCATTTTTGGTTATTTTGTTTTTACTACCTTTTTTAAAAATTATTTATTTATTTATTTAGAGGGTGTGTGACTGGGGGAGAAGCAGAGGGAGCGGAAGAGAGAGAATCTTAAGTAGACTCCACACTGAGCACAGAGAGGGGTTTAATCTCACTCCCCTGAGATCATGACCTGAGCCAAAATCAAGAGTCAGACACTTAAGCGACTGGCCCCTGTACTTACTACTTCTTAGATAATGACAGAAAGCATGCATACTTTCACTTTTTGGAACTTAAGTTTGCATGCAGTCCAGGAAAATTTTACACCGTTATTTCTAAATCTTTATAAAATAAAAAATGCATGTGTAAGTGTATATGTGTATGTGTGTATTTTTAGAGCTTGTAAAATTTCAGCTGAAACTCTTTAGGAGCCCTGAATTAAGTTTAGGTTGCAGGAACATTTCCTTCTTAATTTTTGCTCTTATTTTTTGTTTCTGCAAGTTGGACTTTGTTTCTGTAGCAGAGAAATTGGCCACCTCTGTCACAGCAGACATTCAAAATAAAAGACATGAAACCTTCTGCCTCTCCACCTAGAGAAAGCACCTGTAAGCAAACAACTATGGCCCATCTGCCTCAGGAGTGCTGATACTATTGCCATGTGAAACATGATCAAAATCCTTGTTCTGTCTCAGGCTTCAGATCCTCCCATCAGTTTGAAACAACAAAGCACTTACTGAAGGTGCCTGGTGTGGTCTGCTACTGTTTCAAGTACTTCACATGCTGTAGTTTATTAAGTAGGCTTTTATTTTGCTATCTTTACCTATCACTTAAGCAAAAGCTTTGCATCCTGTGTGTGTGTGTTGGGGAGGGGTGCTAAATGTTGTGAGCTAGTGCTTAATTTAGTATACAAAACCTGACAAACACTATCTTCTAGACACATTTTCTAGGAATGCTGTGTATTCTCCAAGCCCTGGGTTCCCGCCCTCCCAAGCAAAGGCAACCATGAAAAGAGAGGGACTAACAACTCGAATTAAAAATGAGTCCGATTTTAAAATGGCAAGATTCCCCCCCACCACCACCCGGGGGGGAGGGGGCGAACAAATCACTTCTAGAGGCAGTGGAAGGGGAAATAGAGAAATTTCGGATAGTGCCTCCAAAACATGTACTCGGATTCGCTTCCGTCTCTCTCTCTCCATCTTACACTGATTTTATGGTCTCTTTGCTAAATGAGAAGTTCAAGTTCCCCGGGCCCACGCTGTGACCTCTAGTGGTGGGCATGAGGCGAACACCAGGCTTCGGGCTGACACCTGGGATGGCACCTGGGCAACATTTCCTTGCCGGCCCGTGGTTTCCTACATATTAGGCTGAGGCTTGCCATTCATGCTTTTTGACAGCTGCGCGGCTGCCTGCGAGCTGAGAGCGAAGCGCTCCCTGCACCAACCCCTGCGTCCCTGGTCCGAAGCCCCTGGCGGGAGGGCCGGACGGCGACAACACTCGATGGTGTCTCGGGGCCCTCCGGCCGGCTCGCTTCTCCATAGGTGGCTGCGTTTCCGACTTCGCCCTGGCTCCACTCCGGGGGCTTGACGTGCAAACTTCGCCGGAGCGAGCTGAGAGGGAGGGACCGGCGAGGGGGAGGAGGCGGCGGGAGGCGCCTCTGCTTAAGGGAGCCGGTCGGGCGCCGCCGCTCGGACGGACGCGCGGACGGAAGGAAGGAGCGGGGCCGCCGGGCCCGGCCCGGGGATGCAAGCGGCCTCAGGGTGGGCAGCCCGAGGGTCGGGGGTGCGTCTTCGGGCCTCTCCGCCGCGGGCAGCCGTGGCGGGAGCAGCCCCGGGCGCCGGCCTCCGTGCGGGTCTCGGCGGCAGAGGCAGGCAAGGGACCCTGCGCCGTGGTGGCGGGCCGCCGCCGGCTTGTCCCCTCCCCCGAGGGGCCGCGGGAGTCGAAAGCGAAAGCGAGCCTGGGCCACGGACTTTGCGCCCGGGGCGGGGGGTAGCCCAGGAGGAGGCGGGTTGGGAGGGCTGGGCGGCCGGGGGGCGCTGTCAGCGCGCCCCACCCGGCCTGCGGGCCGCGCACGCCGCCGGAACTCCCCGGCGCCTCCTTAAAAGCGGCCCCCGCGCGACTCTTTTCCCCCTTTTTTGTTACATTGTAGGAGCGGAAAGAATGTCGGAGCGGGCCGTGGATGACGTCAGGGGGGAGCCGCGCCGAGCGGCGGCGGCAGCGGGCGGAGCAGTGGCGGCGGCCGCCCGGCAGCAGCAGCAGCAGCAGCAGCCTCCGCAGCCTCCGCAGCCCCAGCGGCAGCCGCCGCCGCCGCCTCCGCGGCGCCTCCGGCCGGAGGACGGCGGCCCCGGCGCCGCCTCCACCTCGACCGCCGCCGCAATGGCGACCGTCGGGGAGCGCAGGCCCTTGCCCAGTCCAGAAGCGATGCTGGGACAGTCGTGGAATCTGTGGGTCGAGGCTTCCAAACTTCCTGGGAAGGACGGTGAGTGTCCACGCCCTCCTTTTCTCCAAGTCCCCCCGTCCCCCACCCTCTGACCCTTTTCCCCTCCCCCCACCCTGTGACCCGCCCCCTCGGGGGTCAGAGATGCTATCGCTCGGTTGGGGTAAGCGGAGGTGCCCGCACCTACTCCGTGCGTGCGTCAGCGTGCGTCACACTCCCGGCCACTGATCTGCCTCTCCCCTCCTCCTGTGTGTGTGTATCTCCTAGGGACGGAATTGGACGAAAGTTTCAAGGAGTTTGGGAAAAACCGCGAAGTCATGGGGCTCTGTCGCGAAGGTGAGTTCAGCCTCCCATTGGAGTTTCTGCAAGCCCTCAGAAGTTTCTAGCCGGCTTCGCCAGGGTGGGAGACTTTATCCCACCTTACCCACTCCTTATCCCCGTGAGGATTTTGCTGTCTGAGGAGGAAGAGTGGGGAGAGCGGAACGTTTGGAAAATCTGGTTTCCGGGGCTTCCTGTAATGGGGAGCGTCTCGGAACCACTCACTTCTAGGCCTAACTTGGTGCAGCATGAGGTGCGTTGCTCAGTGATAAGGTTTGGGGACCAGCAGTGAATTTAACCCAAATCCTTATGGTCTGACCTTCTTCCCAAGAAACACAAGTGGAAAAAGAAATTTTTCGCCTTGAAAGCATTTCCACGCATGCTTTAGGAGGCTTTGGAAAGGACATTTTGCCACCAGAAATTTTCTGCTGGCAATCAGAATTGATTTCAAACTTAAGGAAAGATAACGCTTTATCCGTGTGGTCTTACTTCTATGGGATTTAAGCTACAAAGTTTAGGATGCCTCAGAAGGATCATTACAACTGAAGAGCAGTTAGCCAGAGGGTGTATGTGAGTGTGTGTGAGTGTGAGAGCTGCTTGAGGAGGAGTTGGCCAGAGGTGTGTGTGTGTGTGTGTGTGTGTGTGTGTGAGAGCTGCCAAGATCAGGGCAGGAAAAAGTCCAGAATTTTATTTGGTGAAACAAGCCTTTAGTGTCCGTAGTTAGTGAAACCAGAGTCTGATTATAGTCAGTTTTTAATAAAACTGTTTGATACTTAGGGAAATACTTGTACCTAAAGGTGTGTTTCTAAATGGAAGCTCTGGTATCTAGAAATCGTCAGACTTTTTTTCAGATTTATTTTTCTTTGAATAGTCAACTTTGCTATCTAATGCCTGTGCTGGGCCTGGACACACTGTGGTCCAAAGGGACTTCTGGAGGCCAGTCGACTTTAGGTTCAATTTAAGTTGCTCTTTTAGTGGTAGTAAGGACAAGGCCTTACATGAGTTTTGGTATCCAAAATACTGAGTTTATATTCCCCAATGCAATTTCATTCCTCATGTGTAGCCATTAACTTTGGCATAATGTCCAGAGCCCAAGAATAGGTAGAACTTAGGCAAGCTGCACGTTTTAAAGTCCAGAGTTGGCCCGTTGTTACTGTCTCCATATTTACTTGTTTTTTTTTTTTCACGTTCGCTGTTTTGGTGTTTTGAACTGGCCTCTTGTTGGCCTCTTGGCACTGGGAGGAAGAGTAATACTAGTGGCAGTTCTGTGAGGGTTTCCAGTTGGAACAGATTATAGAGCAAATTAGTTGATTTTGAAAATGAGAATCGCCGTTTGAGTTTGAAGGAAAGAGAGGGAAAGCAAAGGACTTGCTGGCGATGTTGCAATAGGAAAAATCAGTTGTTAGTCCGGTTTTAGTGTTGAGTTGGCAGTCCGCCTGAGCTTAAAAAATTAAAATCTCTAGGTGGCAACTCTCATAGGAAACAGTTGGAGTGGAGCGTTAGAGGACCTGACCCACTCTTGTTCTTAGTTTTTATTCTTTGGGTGTGGATACATTTCCCATAAAGGGTTTCTAAATCTGTGTGAAAACAGTGTGCTAATTATTGGTAATTCCCCAATAGAGGATGAGTAAGTTTATTCGTGTTTTACTGGGCAACTTGGTCTGGACTGACCCAACCAAATTTAGTCACCCGAACCCAATTTTTGTCATATTATTTTTTGCTGGGACATACTCATCAGCAGGTTTTCACCATGAGGATCTAAGACCTCTCAACTACCTTCTTGAGGCCAAAAGGGATCATAGATTTGGTTGTGTATGCTTCTGGCCTATCAAATGATGAGTGATTATTAAAGGTGCTGTTTTTTTAAAAGGTGCTCTAACCATTCAGAAGATGCTGAAGGGACCAGGATGGCTGAAATTCTGCCTGGCAGCTTTGAGTAGAGACTGAAGTTTTTAATTCAGTCAGTTCTTGGTTCATTTGTGACTTGATGGATTTTCTGAGACAATTTTAATACTCAAGCATGAGAACATTCAGCACTCAGGCAGTGGGCTCTGTTTGTCTAACAAATAGCTCACGTTAGACTGTTTAAGAAATGAAAATACAGGGGCATCTGGGTAGCTCAGTTGGTTAAGCGACTGCCTTTGGCTCAGATCATGATCCCAAGGTCCTGGGATTGAGCCCCATGTCAGGTTCCTTTCTCACTGGGGAGTCCGCTTCTCCCTCTGTCCCTTTCCCGGCCTGAGCTCGCTCTCTCTGTCAAATAAATTTAAAAAAAAAAACTTAAAAAAAAAAAGTGAAAATAGATTTTAAATTTATCGAAAATTATTAGACCAGGTATCTTTTGTCTTTGGTTAGGATTATCTGTTTCCAAGAAGAGGTGTATGGAACTAAATCTGTACTAATTCCTCTTGACAAGGAGGTTAAATTGAGATGAAAATGTAGATAAATTGATCATATTGTCGAAGCACTAAGAATCAGAAACTTCCCATGTTAGACGATGTCTAGGACGATGGACCAGACTTTTTTTTTTTTTTTTGGAAGATTGTATTTATTTATATGAGAGAGAGAGAGCATAAGAAGTGGGAAGAGAGGGAAAGGGAGAAGCAGGCTCTCAGCTGAGCTGGGCGCCTGATGTGGGGCTCGATGCCAGGACCCTGAGATCAAGACCCGAGCCAAAGATAGCCACTTAACCAACTGAGCCACCCAGGTGCCCCTGGAGCAGACTTCTTGAGTTCTCATCCAGTTCATGATTGTGGACCTACGGGTTAAAAACCTGGGTATGACAGCAGGTTGCTTAACCTTGCATTTGTTATTTTACCTCTCAGAATCTAGCTTTCCCTCTTTGTAAAAGGAGTTGATGGTAACTGCTTCTCACGGTTGTTGGAGTGGACGTTAAATTAGATAACGTATGGAAAATGACTCTGTGTATACTAATTCTTACAACCCTTTAAGCTGTTGAAACTCTTAGATTTGATTTCTGAATTTGATATTTATCTAGGTCAGGGGATTTTAGTCTGGGACTTGAATGGGCTTCAGGATGGTCACAGTTGCCTTGGAATCGTAGGAAAATCTGTATATGTCTACTTTCTAGGGCCGGCATTAACAGCTTCTCTTGGATTCTTGAGGATCCTTCATATATCTCTAGCCCCAAAATTCAAAACTCCTAAGCCAGGATTTCTTTTTCTTTTTCCTCTTGTAGCTTAGTTCGGCCAGTTCTCTCATGACAAGACTGCCCAAGGGCTAATGCTGCAGGAGAGGTTAGAAATATTGATTTAGATGGAAGTGAGATTATTTGTGGTTTAGCTAACATATCATCCTTTTCCTTCCTATTAGCACAAGTGGGCAAATGTTGGGATAAAATTGCAGTTATCGTTCAGAGGTCAGCCTGTTTTTTGTTTGCATCCTCATATTTTTATTGCTTTTTGTTTTCTGTAATTTATAATATTAGTTGATAACAGTTGATCCAGGTGGAAATAGATGGATAATAATTTCTACTTTTTTCAAATGATTAAACTCAGAAAACAAATTACCCTCTTTTCCAAAGGTGACTTGTGAAATTCTACATTTAACAAAATTATTTTTAGGTGAACTCAATTGGTATGAGTAACTGATTAAGGTTTCCATATTAGTGCCTGAACATATAGGGAGCCTTAAAAAATGAAAATGTTAAACGCCTTAATTTCATGGTAGATTTTAAAAAATACATGATGTCGTTGTGAGGGTCAACAGTAGAGTTAGAAAAATGACATTTTCTTTGGAAAGTCATCCCTAAATCTCTTTTAAGCCACCTGTTGTAAAACAGTCAAAGTAGCCTGTACTTTTCCTTCCAATAAACACTTAAAACTGTCACCATTGGAAAGTATGTATTATGTGGTGACTCTTTCATTAGAATATCCGCTCCCGGAGGACCTGAGCATTGTTGATGGAGACATATTCAGCTTCTGCACAGGTTGTGCTCAGTAAATACTTGTGACCCAAAATGGATTAATTGGGCTGCTTAGAAAGATTCAACTGAGTCACTCAAGGATGAAGAGGTCAATGATAAATTTTCGACTGGACCCCCCTCCCCAAGTACCTACTCTGTGGAAGCTAGGCTTTATGGCCCCAGGGGAGGCCAGAGGCTGTCTTTCAGCACTTCCTGTTGCTTTGTCCTGAGTTTAGCACTCCATTTACACTTTCCAGAAAGTGCAGACAGGACACCACCTCTCTTATCTGTGATATTTAGGCAAGGGAGTAGGATGGCAACCCAGAGTGATATCCATACTTGATGACAGGTGATTTCCCTGTCATAATAATGATGACATAATTGAGCCTAGGGCAAGATGAAAAAGAGGTTAGTTGGCATCTACAGGCAGCTGGATTAAAAGAAAAGAAAATAAAAGACTGGCTAGGAGGTGGGTAGCCTCAATCAACAGAGACGGAGTCAACAATACCAAATTTTTCTTTCCTAGGGGGGAAAAAATGTTCATAGTCCGTTACTGAAAACAAATAGGTATCTGTGTGAAGTACTCTAAAAGTAATTGCATTATAGGCATAAAACCCTCTTCCTGAAGTGAAGAACATTTCTGTTTTTCTCTAGGGTTTCTCTCTTGTTTCTTCCCCCAACTTTTTCTTATGGACAATTTGAAATCTACAGAAGTACAGAAAAAATTTTAGTGAGCCTCCTTGTATCCATCATACAGTTTAAACAACTCATGAGTCATGGCCCAATCTTGTTTTACCTCTACCCTATTCCCCACACTGAGTTATTTTGAATCATGTTCCAGACAGCGTATGATTTCTCTTGGTTTTGTTTTCCCTGCTTACACAGATTTCAACTTGCCTCCTGCAAAATGGGAGCCTATATGTGAGCTCTTTGTTCTTTTGAGGCAAGCCAGGCTGCCATTTTCTGACCTCTTCCAAGGGTGTGCGAGGGTTCTGCAGGTGGCAGTGTTTGCATTCTGCCTACATCTCAAGTGGAGATGGAAACTGAGCCTCAGATGGGAATCAGTGAGATTCAAGTTCACTGCATCAGAATT